ATGTAGTCTAGTCACTGTAGTGAGTAGTAGGCATATCTTAGATATAGAATATAGATAATATCGAACAGAATGATAATTTTGATATTGACAATCCAGAAGGTATAAGAATTATAGACATATCAATACCGGGTGACACTATTGCTTCATATTTGGTGTGTTGTCGCTGTCACAATACTGTGAGATTGTATGAAATTAAAAGAAAGTGACGAGCCAGCACATTTACATTTCATTGTAACAATAAAAACTGTGACAAGCAGCCTGCTTTCTCTTCATCGCCCCAGATAGCTATAGACAATTCATTTGTAAAGATAGTGAATAGACGAACTATCTCTGCAATGTGTAGCATAGGAATAGGAGCGGACAAGTCAGAGTAGCTAGAGACCTTTTTTGGTGTAATGGACTTCCCAAAACCATTGGGGAAAGTAGCTACAGAGCTACAAAGAAACACTGCATAAAGCATGTACATCTAATGAAGAAGAAGCTGAAAGAGAGGGCCATCCTTACCAAGGAGGAAGGTAAGAAAATATTTTTTTTTAGTGTGCATAAAGGTTACCAAAAAAACAACACTTCTACTAACGTTTGTTCAAGTTATTTTCCACAATTGCTGTCAGATTGTGTTGAAATTTGGCACACACACTTTGAGATGTAGAGACTATAGTGTCTGTAGTTTAAACCAAAATCATTTACCTATGTCTTATACTATGTCTTATACCGTACTTGACTAGATATGTAGGGATTTATTCTGCCTTTGTCCACACACAAAAAAAAGGCTAATTTTTCATTTAAGTTATAAAAACAAACCAGAAGGACCAGTTCAATGTGAGTGCTTCTTATAATAGCCCTACAATACTTTTAGATATATGGAAAGTATTGTAGCTGTATAATTCATACTTAGCTTTATATCAGTTCTACAGTTCAGGCCATTTTTTCCATTTCAATTTTTTTTTTTAGCAATTAACAATTTCGTTCAATTTTTTTTATTTAGGTCTCTACTCATTTTTTAAACCATTCACACTACATTTTCCTTAGTCAACAAAATTTATGCTACATTCTCACAAATTTTTATGATTATTTTCATTAGTTTGTCGTCAGGATTTTTTTTTACAAATTTGGTACTCAAGTGTTGGAGACTGTGCCGCCTTAAGTTGTTGCATGAAAGAAATCCGAAGTTCTGTTTTAACTATGGTACACAGTGTTTCACGACTATGATGAGTCCAATTAACTGAAAGAAACTGCGCATATTAGGAAACCTCTAGAATTTCACAAGACTTAGACTATATGTTTACTGTGACACACCAACCAAGACACGCTTATCAAAAGTCACTAACTGAGACTGTGACACAAAGTGAGACACATCATACCATACCAGCTAAGACACACTGATACACCCCAACTGAGACAACCCAACAGATAGACACCAACAAAGACACATAAACTGATACACGCCAACCAAGACACACCAACCAAGACACACCAGCTGCGATATACCAACTAAAACACACCAACTGAGACACACCAACTGAAAAGTGAAAATAAGTTGTTCAAAGATGTTTACATTTCGGGACTTCCCCCCCCCCCCCCCCCCCCTAAACACACCAACTGAGACACACCAACTGAAAAGTGAAAATAAGTTGTTCAAAGATGTTTACATTTCGGGACTTCCCCCCCCCACCCCCAAAAAAACAACAACAACAACACACACAATAATCTCACCTCTACCCAACATGCCCAACCACAGAAAGATAATTGTGTCTTCTGTGCGTGAGTATAATGTTAGATTAAGGAGACTTATATTTAAATGCAGCTTACCCGCAGAACTCTTTCGTCTGTGTCTGGTTGTTCAAAAGTTTCAGTTTAGCACTAACACTGTTACAGCCTCTGATACGATCTTCGCAGGTCCCGAACGTTGCTGGAAATACAAAGGTTTTCAGTAATCATTGCTAGAAATTTCAAAGGTATGAATTAATCGATACTTCTTCTTGTACCAGTAGTTGTCTGACCTGGTATGTATCAACTAATTGTTTCTGCTCCTTGTAGTTTTCTTACTCGGTTAGTATGATTCATTTTTTCTTCTTCTTGCTGTTGTGTGACTCGGTTAGTATGAATTAATTTTTTCTTCTTCTTGTAGTTGTTTGATCTGGTTAATATGAACTTATTGTTTCTTCTTCTTGTAGTTGTCTGACTCAGTTAGTAGGAATTAATTTTTTCTTCTTGCATTTGTCTGACTAGGTTAGTATGAATTAATTGTTTCTTCTTCTTGTAGTTGTCTGACCTGGTTAGTATGAACTTATTGTTTCTTCTTCTTGTAGTTGCCTGACTTGGTAGTATGAAGTAATTATTTCTTCTTCTTGTAGTTGTCTGACTCAGTTAGTAGGAATTATTTTTTTCTTCTTGCATTTGTCTGACTAGGTTAGTATGAATCAATTGTTTCTTCTTCTTGTAGTTGTCTGACCTGGTTAGTATGAACTTATTGTTTCTTCTTCTTGTAGTTGCCTGACTTGGTAGTATGAAGTAATTATTTCTTCTTCTTGTAGTTGTCTGACTCAGTTAGTAGGAATTAATTTTTTCTTCTTGCATTTGTCTGACTAGGTTAGTATGAATTAATTGTTTCTTCTTCTTGTAGTTGCCTGACTTGGTTAGTATGAAGTAATTTTTTCTTCTTCTTGTAGTTGTTTGACTTGGTTAGTATGAAGTAATTGTTTCTTCTTCTTGCAGTTGCCTGACTTGGTTAGTATGAAGTAATTGTTTCTTCTTCTTGTAGTTGTCTGACCTGGTTAGTATGAAGTAATTGTTTCTTGTTCTTTTAGTTGTCTGACCTGGTTATAATGAACTTATTGTTTCTTCTTCTTGTAGTTGTCTGACCTGGTTAGTATGAAGTAATTGTTTCTTCTTCTTTTAGTTGTCTGACCTGGTTAGTATGAACTTATTGTTTCTTCTTCTTGTGCTTGCCTGACTTGGTTAGTATGAAGTAATTGTTTCTTCTTCTTTTAGTTGTCTGACCTGGTTAGTATGAACTTATTGTTTCTTCTTCTTGTAGTTGTCTGACCTGGTTAGTATGAAGTAATTGTTTCTTCTTCTTTTAGTTGTCTGACCTGGTTAGTATGAACTTATTGTTTCTTCTTCTTGTGCTTGCCTGACTTGGTTAGTATGAAGTAATAGTTTCTTCTTCTTGTGCTTGCCTGACTTGATTAATATGTCTACACAGTCAGTGAGATGTTCTTTTTTTTTCAAATTCCCCGTTAGGCAAACTTAAGACCACAACGGAATAATGCATCTTTGGACTTGTTGGACTTACAAGGTAGCATTAAATCTGTTAGTGGCCGTCCTTAAAGGACATCACACTACTTTAGGACAGTTTTACAATTAGGACAATCATCTTTCATTTGATGCCTCATTTTGTCTTACAAACCCAACGATAATATTTTAAATAGTTGTTTAATCCCAACCTCTCACTTCTGGTACCCGGGTGGGAATAGCCAATTCTTTTAAAACAGTGACATCTTTGGCGGCTAGAAAACATGCACCACAAATAAAAGTTGAACATCCTTGTTAACGTCAGGTTTTATTTTGATGTGTATGATGAACAAAATGCATAATGTCTCACCCAATATCTTTACACCCCCCCCCCAACCAACAAACTATCACACTTTCTTAGACACCCCCCCCCCCCCCC